CGCTTCTCCCCCGCTGGGGGCGGTGTGAAGCGGAGCCCAGAACCCTGCTCGGCTAGGGACGCGCTTTGGTCGGGTTTGCGGCCGGCTGTGCCCTAACCCCCTGTGACTTGGGGAAGGGACTCATCCACACACGCACACACGATCTTTGGGCCTCCGTTTTCCCAGAGAACACTAGCGCTCCCGGAATCGCAGCCGCGCCATGGCGGGTACTTACCAGGTGCCCTGCTCCGGGCACCTCACCTGTCAGACCTGAAAGCAGCCGCAGCGCGGGCCCCTTCCCGGCCTCGGGCTGGTGCTTGGCCACCAGAGGGCAGCAGAGGGCACTGCACGGCTGGAGTGGGGACGGAGCTGCGAGATTGGGGTCTGGGGAGAATTGGTCACTGCCCTGGGGATGTCAGGCCGCCCCGCGCCTGCTGCAGACCTCGGCCGCTTCTTTCTTCGGAGGAGAGATCTCTGGGGCCTGGCGTTTTCAGCTGGGGTTGTCCCCATCCTCCTGTCTGCAACCCAAAGAGGACCAGAAACGTGCCCTTCCTTGGTCAACACCCTCTCCCTCCTCTGCAGCATTCTGTGCCTCTCCAGTCCCCTGGGCGAACATTTCCAGTTTATGGTTGGGAGCGGGGCCTCCACGCCACAGAGTGAGCCAAGGAAGGTCCTTGCTCACAGCACAGCCTCTGGCCTTCTCTGGGCCTGGGGTTCCTCATCTGGAAGATGGTGGTTCCTGTTGTGATTGTAGATGAGCAAGTGCAAAAAGCTTAGAAGGCAGGACTGGTCATTACAACAGTGCTAAGTGGCCCGGGAGGCTGCAGGGCTGGGCGGGTGGGGTGGTGAGGAGCAGTGAGGGGAAGCAGGTTGGTGAGTAGCCAGGAGTGGCCGATGCTGCTACAGGCCTGGCGCAGGCTGTCTGCAGTGCTCAGCTGAGAGCGCACGGCAAAGCCAGCGCTGCTCCGGCGCCAGGGGAGGCTGTGCTGCTTTGCTTTGACCTCGTTGGATTTGGAAGAATCCAAGGAGGGAGCCATTAGCTGGTGCCACCCCATCCACGTGGCTCAGGGTGCCATGGGCAGTCCTGGGGGTGCCACCCACACCCCTCAGCTGTTTGCAGGCCTGGCGAACCTCAGCTGCCTGGGAAGGGGCGCTCAATGGTCATCTCTTCCAGACCTTTGACAAGGGTCCCGGCGAAATCCCACCCTCCACGGGGTGCCAGTCCTGGGAGGGCCACTTCCATGAGCCGAGGCCCAGGGTGGCGGGTCCAGGGCTTGAGCCCAGCTCTCCCTCAGAGATGCAGTGGGCTGGGACCCAGCTGGGCTTCTCAGATGAGGACTCCTGGTCCTTTCTGGGCATGTCACCCTGCCCCACAGAGGCCAGGCTGTAAGGCTTGTTCTCCCAAGGCTGCTGAGTTCATTAAGCCCCGTTAATGCCCCAAAGCCCATGAGCCTGACCACCTGCATGTCTGGCTGGGGCCCTCGTGCCTGCAGGGAGCAAGCAGAGGGGACACTTGTTAGCTTGGGCTGCTTCATTCCTACCTGTCTCTCTTTATTTAAAAAGTAATACCTGTTCATGTTTCTAAAATATCTAAAGCTTCAGAAAGGAATGCAGTGAAGGGAGTCGGCAGGGAGAGCCCTCCTGCCCCAGCCCTTGGGAGTGAGGCGAGCTCCCTCGAGGCTGCCCACCTCACAGCTGCTAAGGGAAGCACTGTGCTGGGCGGGACGAGTCCAGAGTGTGGAGTATCTTCAACACTGAGCCCCACGGCCAGCCCAGCCGGGGCCCGCCGCCCGCCC